GTGGGGGGGGGGGAGCCTGGGCCCTGCCCAGAAATCCGGGTCCTCACTGCTACTCCTGGCCGCTCAGCTGTAGCCACGAAGCACCTGGACCTGAAGAATATGGAGCTGGACACGGCGGCGGCCAAGGTGGACGAACTGACCAAGCAGTTGGAGTCGCTGTGGTCAGACTTGCCGGCGGCGTCTCTCGGCTCGCAGGCCAGAGCGCCGGCTAGGGTGAGCCTGCTTGCCCTGGTCCCCACCCGAGCCCCCCAAAGTCAGGTTCTTTCCTCCAGGAGTTCAGGCAAGCCTGTCCCATGGGGCTGTGCAGGCTGTGGGCTATTTAAAGGCACTTGTGGGATTAGTGGAAGTGGGGATCAGTGGAAGTGGACGTCTGTCAGGACCCTCGGAAGAAAAGGGTTTTTCTTCTAAGCGACACAAAGCCACTGTACACGCAAGCCCCAGCCCTGATTGCAGGGTTCCCTATGCCTGAATCTCTAGCCCCGTCCAACTCTCCAGGCTTGATTTTCGATCACCTCTATTGACCTACCAACCCTCTACTATTGTCTCCTTTGACCCCTCAATGTCCCGACCTCCCTACAGCTGTCCCGGTACAGCCTCAGCCCTGTCCCCGAGCCCTTGGGCAGCCGCGGGTCTCCCCGGAAGGCGACCACCGACGGCGCAGACACCTCGTTCGGACGCTCCGAGAGCGCCCCGGCTCTGCTCCCCTACAGCTCGCTGTCCCCTAAGGGCCGGCCGTCGTCACCGCGCACCCAGTTCTACCTGCAGCCGGATGCCTACGGCAGCCTGGACCGGGCGCCCTCACCCCGGCCCCGCGCCTTCGATGGAGCAGGCAGCCCCCACGGCCGTGCGCCCTCCCCTCGCCCCGGCCCGCTCAGACAGCAGGGTTCCCCCACGCCCTTTGACTTCTTGGGCCGTGCCCGCTCCCCCCGTATCAGCCCCCTGGCCGAAGGGCCCCAGGCCTTCTTTCCTGAGCGCGGGCCCTCGCCTCGCACCCCGTCCGTAGCCTACGATGCGCCGACTGCCTTTGGAAGCCCCCTGCTGGGCCCTGGCGTCAGCGCCTTCGCCCCACCTCTGCGCGCGCAAGGTGAACCAGGGGGCCGTATTTGGCGGGTGGGAGTGGCGCAAGGTCCGGGACCAGCTTCGCCCCCCCCCGCCCCCCCCCACATCCTCATGGGCAACCTCTCTCCAGACGACCTAACGCTTCGGCGGCGGCCCCCCAAAGCCTGGAACGAGTCTGACCTGGACGTGGCGTACGAGAAGAAGTCCTCGCAGACAGCGAGCTATGAACGTGAGTGGTGCGAGGCCAAAGGAGTGGGGCACCCGGAGAGGCCTCCCCCTAATGATTCCCGCCTCACAGGACTCGATGTCTTCGCGCGGCCCGCTTCACCAGGCCTGCAGCTGTTACCCTGGAGAGAGAGCAGCCTGGATGGGCTGGGGGCCCCCGGGAAGGTGAGGGGCCGGAGAAACTTGGGGAGGGGGCTGGTGGGCAAGGGTGGAGTCAGGGCTAGTCTTCCCCTCCTGGCTGCGCCCGCAGTTTCCGTTCCCTTCCCCAGGCTCTTCCTTTATCTTGGATTTCCATCCCCTCCCTGACCGTCTTTCCTTTCCCTCCCTCTGTCTTCCCTCCCTTCCTTCTCTCCCTTCTCACCTTTTGCCTTTACCTCCCTCCTCCTTTCCTCCACTCCCTTATCATTCATTCCCTTATGCCTATCTTCCTCCCACCCGAGCCCCTTCTATCTTCCTTCCTCCCTTTTTCTCCCCCAGGACAACTTCACCAGTGCCACTCTGCCCCGCAATTACAAGGTCTCCCTTCTGGCCAACGACAGGCGTTCTGATGTGGACAGCTACCGCCGATCGCTGGGCTCCGCGGGGTCATCAGGCACTTTGCCCCGAAGCTGGCAGCCTGTCAGCCGCATCCCCATGCCTCCTTCCAGCCCCCAGCCCCGAAGTGCCCCCCGCCAGCGCCCCATCCCCCTCAGCATGATATTCAAGCTGCAGAATGCCTTTTGGGAGCACGGAGCTAGCAGGGCCATGCTCCCTGGCTCCCCGATCTTCTCTCGAGCTCCCCCGCCTAAGCTGCTTCCCCAGCCCCAGCCACCTCCACAGTCCCAGCCACAATTACAGCCTCAGCCCCAGCTTCAAGCCCTTGCCCCCGTCCCCCAACCTCCCCAAGACACTTGGTCCCCTGTGAGTGAAGGTGAGTCAGCAATGGGGGTTCCATAGGGATGGGTGCAACCTCTCTCCAGACGACCTAACGCTTCGGCGGCGGCCCCCCAAAGCCTGGAACGAGTCTGACCTGGACGTGGCGTACGAGAAGAAGTCCTCGCAGACAGCGAGCTATGAACGTGAGTGGTGCGAGGCCAAAGGAGTGGGGCACCCGGAGAGGCCTCCCCCTAATGATTCCCGCCTCACAGGACTCGATGTCTTCGCGCGGCCCGCTTCACCAGGCCTGCAGCTGTTACCCTGGAGAGAGAGCAGCCTGGATGGGCTGGGGGCCCCCGGGAAGGTGAGGGGCCGGAGAAACTTGGGGAGGGGGCTGGTGGGCAAGGGTGGAGTCAGGGCTAGTCTTCCCCTCCTGGCTGCGCCCGCAGTTTCCGTTCCCTTCCCCAGGCTCTTCCTTTATCTTGGATTTCCATCCCCTCCCTGACCGTCTTTCCTTTCCCTCCCTCTGTCTTCCCTCCCTTCCTTCTCTCCCTTCTCACCTTTTGCCTTTACCTCCCTCCTCCTTTCCTCCACTCCCTTATCATTCATTCCCTTATGCCTATCTTCCTCCCACCCGAGCCCCTTCTATCTTCCTTCCTCCCTTTTTCTCCCCCAGGACAACTTCACCAGTGCCACTCTGCCCCGCAATTACAAGGTCTCCCTTCTGGCCAACGACAGGCGTTCTGATGTGGACAGCTACCGCCGATCGCTGGGCTCCGCGGGGTCATCAGGCACTTTGCCCCGAAGCTGGCAGCCTGTCAGCCGCATCCCCATGCCTCCTTCCAGCCCCCAGCCCCGAAGTGCCCCCCGCCAGCGCCCCATCCCCCTCAGCATGATATTCAAGCTGCAGAATGCCTTTTGGGAGCACGGAGCTAGCAGGGCCATGCTCCCTGGCTCCCCGATCTTCTCTCGAGCTCCCCCGCCTAAGCTGCTTCCCCAGCCCCAGCCACCTCCACAGTCCCAGCCACAATTACAGCCTCAGCCCCAGCTTCAAGCCCTTGCCCCCGTCCCCCAACCTCCCCAAGACACTTGGTCCCCTGTGAGTGAAGGTGAGTCAGCAATGGGGGTTCCATAGGGATGGGTGAAGGGAGGGCAGGTGGCTGGGGACCAAACCAGCTTGGGGTCCCATCACAACCAAACACCTGTTTCCAGACATTGTCCCTGCAGAGAGCAAGGCCAGATGAGCTTGGGGATTTGCTCAGGGACTAGGGACAGCACAGTGCTTAAGCATGGACCCTGGAGTCAGACTGGCTGGCTCCACACTGTGTGACCTTTGGCAAGTCAGTTAACCTCTCTGGACCTCAATTTCCTTGAGTGTAAAAGGTGAATAGTGATAGAACCTACCTTATTGGGATATGGTACTAGATTATTTAATCCATATAAAGTCCTTAAAATAGGGCCTGATGTATAGAAAGCCCTCAATAGCTATCATATTAATCATTATAATTATTAATAGTTTTTGGTGTGAGACCAGCGCAGGGCCTGGATTTAAGCAGAGTGGGTTTTGATCCCCTCTCTACCATTGACATGCTGTGTGACTGAGGATAAATTAATTAACCCATCTGAGCTTACATTTTTTCATCTGTGAAGAGAGATTAATAACATTTACTTCATAGATTATGATGGACAGTCAATGAAATAATGTATAAAATGATCATTGTAGGGCTTCACTGGTGGCGCAGTGGTTGAGAGTCCACCTGCCGATGCAGGGGACACGGGTTCGTGCCCCGGTCCGGGAAGATCCCACATGCCGCGGAGCGGCTGGGCCTGTGAGCCATGGCCGCCGAGTCTGCGCGTCCGGAGGCTGTGCTCTGCAACAGGAGAGGCCACAACAGTGAGAGGCCCGCGTACAGCAAAAACAAAACAAAAACAAAAACATATATATATATATATATATATATATATATATAATTGTATATTTCTACCTGCTTTAGAAGCTCTGACAGAGAGGCAAGAAACAGAAGAGAACAACAAGTACCAAGATTCTAGTCCCAGCAATTTTCTTTCTTTCTGTATTTATTTTTGGCTGCCTCGGGTCTTCCTTGCAGCGCGCGGGCTTTCTCTAATGACAGAGAGCAGGGGTGGTGTGCGGGCTTCTCACTGCAGTGGCTTCTCTTATTCTGAGCCTGGGCTCCAGTAGTTGTGGTGCGTGGGCTCAGTAGTTGCGGTGCACGGGCTCAGTTGCTCTGCGGCACGTGAGATCTTCCCGGACCAGGGATTGAACCTGTGTCCCCTGCATTGGCAGGCAGATTCTTAACCCCTGCGCCACCAGGCAAGTCCTCAGCAATTTTCTGCCTGAGATGTTAGAAGAGGAAATTCTTACAATCTTAGAAAGTCAAGTTTATCATAATGGTAGGAGCAGAGATTCTGGAGTCAGGTAGGACTGAGTTCAAATCCCAGCTGTGTGGCTTTAGGCAACTGACTTGCCTTCTCTGAGACTCAGTTTCCCTTTCTGTAATAACGAGATGTTAGCCATATCAACGTCACAAGGTAGTGGTGAGAATTCAGTGATAGGCATGTAAAGCACGAGGCACATGCTAACTGCTTGTTAAACAGGGGATGTCATAATTGTCTATTATTCACAACCCAGGGAAAGTGTAGCCCAGAGAAAGCAAGGCACTGCCCTGAGGTCACACAGCAAATCAGGCATTTGTTGCAAGTCCTGGAAGTTGTGGGGAGGGAGTCTCTCGGGTCTCTTGGGACCCCTCCTTTGATGGGGCTCTTGCTCCTTCTAGGCTTCCCCAAACCTCCCACTGAGCTGGAGCCTGAGCCGGAGCTGGAGGGGCTGCTGACACCAGGGCTGGAGGCTGGTGATGCAGATGAAGGCGCTGTAACTCGGCCCCTTAGTCCCACACGGCTGCAGCCAGCGCTGCCGCCCGAGGCACAGTCAGTGCCCGGGCTGGAGGAGGTGGCACGGGTGCTGGCAGAAATTCCACGGCCCCTCAAACGCAGGGGCTCCATGGAGCAGAGCCCTACTGTAGCCCTGCCCCCCACCCACAAGAAGCAGTACCAGCAGATCATCAGCCGCCTCTTCCATCGTCACGGTGGGCCTGGGGGGCCCGAGCCTGAGCTGTGTCCCATCACTGAGGGACCTGAGGCCAGGGCAGGGCCCCCTGCTCCAGCCCCACCAGCTCCCATACCACCCCCAGCCCCTCTCCAGAGCAGCCCACCAGAGCAGCCACAGAGCATGGTAAGTAATACAGGAGGAAACTGGGGTATATTACTCAGCATATGGAAGCATCCCTTCCCTTTTAGGACAGAACCTGGAATTTGCACGCATCACATCTGGCGCATTCCACTGGCCAGGAGCCCAGCTGCAAGGGAAGCTGAGAAATGTAGTTTTAAATCTAAGTGTACCTGTGCTCAGAAGAAAGGGAGAACATATATGGAGGGGCATTCAGAAGTCTTGGCCACATCGAGATTTTCTCTGCTCCTCTCCAGTAACCTGTCCCCCCAGGGCTTCCCTTCAGGAATCTTAGAGTCTTCCAACCTGGAAATGACTTCGTCTTGGCATGACAGAGGGTTTATTCTGGGGTCTGAAAAGCCTGCCTGAATCAAGGCAGTCACCATTTCTCTCCCTAGTTGCCACAGCCTCTCATGTCCGCCTTCTCTGGGGAGCTGCTCTCTCCTCTTACACCTCAGCAAGTCTGTGCCATGGTTAGAAATGGCCCACCCAGCCCTGACTCAAAATGACCTCTCAGTTCAAGTCCATGGTGTCCTCTGACTCTAGTCAGAGCTTCTTCCATTCAGATTTTCAAGAACAAGTCTCTGGTCTCTGAGGTTGTGGGTGTCGTGGTTAAGTGCACCAGCGGCAGAGCTAGGCTGCCTGGGTTCAAATCCCAGCTCCACAGCACTTATTGGCTGTGCAACCTTGGGCCAGACACAGAGTCTCTCTGTGCCTCAGTTTCCTCATCTGTAGAACGGGGATGAAAATAAGCATAGGGTTGCTGTGAGGATTTAATACATTAATATAGTGCCTAGAATAGTGCCTGGCACTTAACTATTATTATTATCATTTGACCAGGGGCTGGTCTCCTGCTGATCTTGGTCTGGTTTCTGCGTCGTGGCTTGGAGGGAGCGGGGTGTAGTCACATGGAACAATCCTGATTGCTCAGTGTGGGTAGACAGATGGAGGAGAACAAGACGTGGGGGCCAGGTGGACCCCCAAATGCATATTCCCAGGCCCTTCTGAGGGTGGAGCCCAGAAATGTTGAGGCTCAGGATCTGGAAATCAAGAATGGAAGAATGACAGTGTCTTGAAATGGTCAAGTTGCCTCATTGTAGAATCACAGAGTTCTGGCCACAGAGAGACCTGAACACTCACAGATTTCAAAAATTAAATCCTGACATCACAAACTCAGAAGAGTGAAATTTCAGAATTCCAGAACACTGAAGGTTTGCACAGGATCTTGGAATTTAAAAGTTAGTAACACAAACCCTGGTTATTACTGATTCTTGAAGTCCCCAGAACTGAAAATTAAAGACTCATCATTTGAATCTTACATCATAGATTAGTGCACAGATATGTTATAATACAGAATTTTATTTTAAGTGAACATTTTCCACTAGAAAGGAACACACAAACATAGTAACGAGGAAGAAATAGATAAAAGTAGAATAAAGAGGCCCAAATAACAGCATTCAGAGAGAACCACGATTAACACTTTGAGTATTTCCTTCCAGTCTTTTGGAATGAAATTCTCACCATGAAATATTCAAGTTCTCAAACATAGCATCTTGGGAATGCAACGTCCTGGGTCCTCAGCAATTTGAAATGGCACAACTTAGCATTTCTGGACTCACACGTACTGGAAACTTAGCATCAGAGAATTTTTAAATGGGTGGCTCGTGGGATCTTCAAATTCCAGAATCTTGAAATCACTGACATCGAAGACCAGGATCACAAATGCTATATGCTCAGAATAAATGAATTTTGTAGGACACTTGAAAATCAAAAATAAGAAGGCACAAGCAATAACATGATAAATATTCTAATTCCAAACATCTGAAATTAACACTTGGTAACATCTTGTCACGTGTGCTTCCTAGCATGTTTTTTTTTTTTTTTTTTTTTTTTATATATAAAAAAAAAAAAAAAATTTTTTTTTTTTTGGTTTTTGTGGGTTTTTTTTTTTTTTTTTTTTTTTTTTGTCTG